ACTTTTGTTTCAGTTATGTATAGATGTGTATGAATATATGGAACACTAGACTGAAATGTAGAATGTATTTCTTACTATAGGTTACAATAAAAAAAAAGTGTGAAGGTCTCATACTGCAGCAATACTTCTCCAACTATGGTCCAAAGACCAGTTCTGTTTGGGGAACTGTTTATTACCAGTATGTTATGAAATAAGGAGCTTGTGACAGAATGTAAATCAATTAAGCACACTAATCTTTTTACAGTAGCAAAACTTCCTCCATGCAGAAAGCAATGCACTGATTTAGCATTCTAGCGCAGGCCCTTACCTCATCACTGAAGGTAACAAGGACATTAACAGTCTAGAGACTGGCTACTTTGGGTAGAACTGCTCCAGGGGATACAGAGAATACAATAGGGCTTCTGATCACAGATGTCTTAGTCTAGTTACCAAGACCAAATTAATACTCATTAAATAATAAGCCATCCATTAGTTGCTACACTACATAGGAACATGACTCCAGTCATTGGGAAGTCACAAGGAGGGAAAAATTCAGTGTATCTAGAAAAGACAAAGCTTCTTCCAGCCCAGAGCATACTCTCCTCTTTTGTGCTGGCCTTACTTCCTTTACGGGCCAACTTAAGTTCCACTTCTTCCATCCTTGATGGTCTCAGTTTTGGGAATTCATTTCCTATAGCACTGAATCCTATAATGCTTATTATCTACATAAGGGAACACCTTTAGAACAGTATTGGGACCAAAAGACAATTGTGACAAGGCTTTACGATGCTCATACCTCATAAGCATGAGTGCTCACGATAATGTGATGAGATAGAGACAGAAACTGGCCCTGAAGATAGGATTTAACTAAGAACAGGGTGAGAAAGGAGGGCATTTCAAAAGAGGGAAACACCATGAACAAAGATACAAAATGAGAAATTAGTACAGGAAAAACACTGACATGTCTGTGTATCCCTGTCACGTACCTCAACAGTCCTTATACAGTCACCACGTAAGAATTGTTGGCTAACAATAATAATTAAATTAAATTAGGCAAGGAGATGGAGTCACACTATAGAGGACTTTTGAAGCCATCCAGAATTGTTTATATTTGATTCAGCAGCCAATAAAAGCCAGTTCTTGATAGGAAAAATAGTATCTCAGGGTGGTCAAATTGGGGATATATAAGTTGGAGTGGAAGGAAATGACAACAAGGGAATGATACCACAGGAAAGAGTAACTACCAGGTCATTGCAGAAAAGAACACAAAATGGCAGAAACATGTTTTGGTAATAGATTGAATCAGAATATTTTCTCTCACTTACACACACACACACACACACACACACACTATCTCTCTCTCTCTCTTTCTACCCTGAAAAATGTGAAGAATGTAGTACTATTAACAAAAAACAAATATTGTGTAGCTTAAAAACTGATCAGTTAATGGCGGCATTTCTCAACCCTGGCATTACTGGACCAGATAAAACTTTGCTGTGGGAGGCTGTCGTGTTGTCTCGCTCCGTCCAGCCTGGGGTGTGAATCATCCCCTTGTCCAGAGTATCCACAGTGTACACCCTACCCGCCATCACAGTGCTTGTGTTCAAGTAACCCTTATTTTACATAATAATGGCCCCAAATTCCAAGAGTAGTGATGCTGGCAATTTGGATATGCCAAAAAGAAGCTGTAAAATGCTTCTTTTAAGTGAAAAGGTGAGAATTCTCTTAAGGAAAGAAAAAAAGAAATCATATGTTGACATTGCTCAAATCTGTGGTAAGAACAAATCTTCTATCTGTGAAATTGTGAAGGACAAACAACTTCATGCTAGTTTGCTTTCGTACCTCAAATTGCAAAACTTACAGCCACAGTGCATAACTTTTATTACAGTACATTGCTGTAACTGTTCTATTTTATTAAT